CAATGTGAATAAGAAGGGGGAAAGCGGATCTCCTTGTCTTAAACTCCTACAGGTTGGGAAGAAATCGTTCACTCCCCCATTGACTAAAACTGAATAATGGTGAGAAGAGAGGCATTCATTTATCCATTTACACCATCTGTCTCCAAAGCCACACCTCTGAAGCACCTCTAATAGAAAGCTCCAATCTACCAAATCGTAGGCCTTTTCAATATCCAATTTGCAAACAAAACCTTGAGTTCCTGATCTTCTCATCTCCTCAACACACTCATTTGCTATTAAGATTTAATCAACTATTTGTTTTCTATGAACAAAAGCACCTTGAGCTTAACTAATGAGAGAGGGAAGCACCTTTTTGATCCTCAAGGACAAGACCTTAGCCAAAATCTTGTAGATACTTGTCACTAGGCTAATTGGTCTAAAATCTTTAGGATGTATGGCCTATTTCTTCTTTGAACCAAAGTTAAGAAAGTTTCATTGATTCCTCTACTAATAATAAAACTATCTTATCCTCAAGGACAAGACCTTAGCCAAAATCTTGTAGATACTTGTCACTAGGCTAATTGGTCTAAAATCTTTAGGATGTATGGCCTATTTCTTCTTTGAACCAAAGTTAAGAAAGTTTCATTGATTCCTCTACTAATAATAAAACTATCTTTAAACTCTTTAAAGACCTCAAACAAATCATATTTGATTATATTCCAGCAATCCTAAAAGAAAGCCATAGTAAACCCATCTGGCCTCGGTGCCTTAGATCTATCCATGGTAAACACTACTTGCCAAATTTCCTCCTCAAAATTCCTTTCCAACCAAACTTTGTCTTCTTCGTAGAGGTTAGCCACTCCAAATCAGTCAACTCTAGTCTTCTTCCTAATGGTTTCCTAAGAATAGATTTGAAATGATTTACAAAGTAGTTGGCTATCTCCTCTTGGGAGTCCAATTCCAGTCCATCCACTTCAAGTTTGGACCAGGTTTTTCCTCCTTCTCCCATTGGCAAATTCATGGAAGAGTTTGGTATTTCCATCACCTTCCTTGATCCATTTGTGTCCAGATTTTTGCCTCCAAGAAATTTCTTCACGCAAAAGGGGACTTCAAAGTTATCATCTCTTGGGCAAGAAAAAAAAGACATATTCCCTGGACTCTCAAGAATGCTTTCAAGGAAATAGAAAGGGCTGCAAGAGAGCTGAATGCTGAATTCAAGTGGGTTAGAAGAAGCGCAAATGGGCTAGCTGACTCCCTTGCTAAACAAGGGGTAGATAGGCAGCATCTGTTTTGAGCATCTTTGTAACATAGTGTTGGTTATTGGGCTGATGTTGTGGTCATTAATTAAGCTTGTAATGTTTTTTCACATTCTTAATAAAATATTTTCTATTTATCAAAAAAAAAATCCCATCCTTTCTTTTTTTTCCACTCATCAATCTTAGCATTAACATTTCTACCACAATCATTTTTTGGACATGTTGTTTCTTGACTGCCCAACACTTTGCTCCACACAACATAGTTAGCCTTACAACTGTTTGGTAAAATTTTCCTTTTAATCCAAGTGGAATTCACCTATCACATAAAAGTCCAGATGCACCCCTCCATTTTTCCGTCGTGCTCTAATTCTTTGGGTGACATCCTTCTCAATCTCTCCCTTGTTATGAATTATTGAACCTAGGTATTGGAAATGGTCACATTGAATTCTCTTGGTCTTCAATCCTAAGTGTATCTTGATTTACACTTCTATTATTACTAAGCTTACATGTCATATACTTTGTTTTAGTCTTGCTTATTTTAAAACCTCTTGTTTCTAAGGCATTTGTCCATAAGCTTAATCTTGCATTTAATCATTCATTAGTTTTATCAATTAAAACAATGTCATCTGCAAACAACATGCACCATGGAACTTCCTCCTAAATATGTTTAGTTATTTCATCTATGATCAATGCAAATAGATAAGGACTAAGTGTTGAACCTTGGTGAAGATCCATAGTAACTGTAAAATTTGAAGTCTCACCCATTGTTGTTTTAACATTGGTTGTGCCTCCTTGTACATATCCTTGATTAGGTCTATATACCTATTTTGAACCCTTTCTTTTCCAAGACCCACTAGATTATCTCTCTAGGAACTCTTATCATATGCCTTCTCTAGATCAATGAACACCATATGAAGATCTTTCTTCTTCTCTTTGAACTTTTCTATCAATCCTCTCAAAAGAAATATAGCTTCCATGGTTGATCTCCTTAGCATAAACCCAAATTGGTTCTCTGATACACTTGTTTCAAGTCGTAATCTTTGATCATTTATTCTCTCCCAAAGTTTCATAGTGTGGTTCATAAGTTTAATCCCTCAATAGTTATTACAACTTTGTATGTTATCTTTTGTAAGAAAACCCTATTCGATTCTAGGTTAAAGTAGAGAAGAAGAAGAAGAAGAAGAAGAGTTCGGCCAGATTAGGAAAGAGAAAAATCAGTCCTCCCTAGCCGACCCACTTGTATTTATTTCAAATAATATAGTTACAAGAAAGACCATATTGTCCCTCATGAAAGATGGGACACATAACTTAAACTTAAATAAAATAGACCTTTCACTCTCAAACAGATAAACCAAAATGACCAAAATACCCCTGATTCGTGTATTCTAACACTCCCCCTCAAGCTGG